TGGCTGCTGCAACGCAGAATCGGCAGGAAGCAACCATGCAGGTTTTGAAAGCCCATGGTGCACAGTGACAATAAGGCTGTGCTGAACCTGGACTACAGAACCTTCATGTTTTTTAGAGCATGCTCGAGCGTGTGTGCGCATGAGCTGTTGTGACCCTGCTATTCATTGCAAGGTGGTTAATGCTTTTAGCGTCGGAAGCTCATCCGATTTAGGCATGAGCTATTCAGCTAACCCTCGTCGGCCGCAGACAAAATCTGAAGTGCTTGAATGTATGTTCCACTGCTTTCATCATGGGACCTCGCCATTGTTGGCAGCGAATTCAAATGAGTCAGTGTTTGTTTAAGTGACAGTTTTTAGATGCCATTTAACTTCTGTGCATACGTGATCATCCGACAGTGTACTTTTGTTTCGGTTCAAGGCCTTTTTTGTTTCCTCGGTAGCCAAAGCAGAGTCCATTTTTACCAACCAATCTCTCCAATGGCAACTGAGACCCTGAATGTCAGTGACGGCACCACCATGCAGATTGCTCGCTTGCCCGACATTGATGATGAGACCTGGGCTGAAGTCAAGGACTATGTGGAGAAGAACCCTGAGACTGCCAAGGCTCTCCAAAACTTTGCCAAAAACCCGGAAGCAATGCGGGGTTGGTTGCAGACTCAGGCTGGGTGAGCTAAAGTGCAGGATGTTGATGTGTTGTAGACCTGCCGGGCTATCACTTTCTGAAGCTTTGCGATTCGTGAATGATGTCAAGGAGTCAAAACTATGCAAAACTGTTCTTGTCGGATGCTTCCCGCATGGTATACTGTATGTTATACAGGCCATCGCCGAGCACTACAACACCAAGCTCTCCAATGGCGACACCCCCGTGCAAGATAGAGTGAAGTCTTTGGAGTCTGATGCAGAGCCCTCCGCTTGCAGAAGAGACTGTTCTTGTTTCGGTTTATGTCACATTATGTTTGTTGTTTGTTGCACTCAAGCCTCCCTCTGGTAACGTATTTCAAGCACTTGAAAGCATCAATGAACAAACCCTTGAGTGAATGTGTGTATATGCCCTTTTTTGTGCCAGCCATGTGAGGCTGGGCCCCATTTTCGAGGACATCAAGAAGAATGGCGTGGAGGCAGCCATGAAGTACTACCAAGACGAAGAGTTGATGCTGAAGATCAGTCAGAAGATGGGTGGATTGCCATCCGAGTTGTCACCGGTCTTGCAGAAGATCGAGGACCTTTGTGGAAATGTTTGTGGCGGATGTTGCAGAAAACTGGATTCATTCTCCACAACGTCCCCGCAATGTTTTGCAAACTTGACATGAGTCCATGTTGTGTAGAGCCTACGGTCTATAGACTCTATATGACTGTAGATTATTTGCTGGAGATCGTGCATTTCACTCTGGAGGACACGCCGATGACTTTGCACGAGGCGGCCAAGCGGGGTGACCTGACCGCGGTGAAGACCTTTTTAGAAAAGAAGAAGCCACTCGATTCCCAGGCTGGGTTTGCGTGGGAGCTGTAGGTATTTGATGTATTTTGTGTTGTTCATAATTGTTGACTTGGTGCGTGAGGACCACAAGGGCGTCACGGCTTTGGGTTATGCTATCGGTGCCAACCGCATTGCCGTGGTCAAGCTTCTGTTGGACAACAGGGCCAATCCTTATGCAGTTGACAGCTCCGGCAACAGTGGTCTCCACTATGCAGCCGGATATGGCCGAAAGGAACTTTTGGAGTACCTTCTGAAGGTGGGTGCGAACGTCAATCAGCCCAATGCGGAGGGTCTCACACCTTTGGCTGCTGCAACGCAGAATCGGCAGGAAGCAACCATGCAGGTTTTGAAAGCCCATGGTGCACAGTGACAATAAGGCTGTGCTGAACCTGGACTACAGAACCTTCATG